CGGCAGCACGTCCCCCGCCCCACGGAGCGTAGCGCGGCAGCGGCGCTCCCGGGCCGGGCCGGGCCGGGCCAGGCTCCGCGCTCCGGGTGGCGGGCGGTGCCTGCGGACGGGCGGGGCGGGTCGGGCTGGGCCGGGCGGAGCCAGCGCCGCGGAGGGCGGGCCCGGCGCGGCGGAGCCGTGGGAGGGAGGCAGGTAACCGTGATGGTCCTTCGCGGAGCGGAGTTTGAGGGATGGGGCTCACCGCCCGCTGCCCCTCGCTGCGAAAGGAGGCGGGAGGGAGGGAGGGAGGGATGAAGAAGAGACGTCCTGCGGCCGGCAGTCCCTGACCCCGGCAGCCCACGGAGCGGGGGTGGCAGCGCGATCTGCCAGAGCCCCCAGCCGGCGAGGAGCGCTCGGCGGTGCCGCAGCGAGCCGTGCTCCAGTCCCAAGCGATGTCACGGGGTTGAGTAGGGGCAGGTATTTCACATCACATCAGGGTTTTCTACGCCCCTCACTTCCTTTAAAACGGAGCTACTAGCACTTTATCGCAGCAGTTTTGCCGGCTTGCTACCGTTTGCGAAAGGCTACAGATGCCTAGTTATGATCTTGCAGCAAAGTCCCTGTGGGTATTTGACTTTGAAACGGGCATCGGCATTGGGATTTGTGACCAAGCTTTCAGAGTCATTGAAACCAAAGCACATCACAGAAGTTAGCATCCGAAAGCTTTTGTAAATCCTCCTATACAACTCCTTCGTCTTTAAATGGCTTTTAAACCTAGTTATTCTACCAATTTTTACTATATTCTTTGAAGATATTATTTTCGAAATATCCTCTCATTTCTTCTGTCCTAAGGACATAGGTTCTCATCTAATGTACTAGTATTATATATAAATATATACCATATTTGTTTATGCCTGGACCCCGGGTTAATCCAGTTGTGGAATCAAAACAGACTAAGAACTTTTGTAATGAATGAAGTCCCACAACATCATTACAGAGTAGCTATCTTCTCTATTTCACAGAAAAAGAAATGTGAGCACAGATCAGTTATTGATGTGCTCTAATTAACACAGTACATAGTTAATGAAAATAGGAACCAGAATGCAAGTCTCCACTTTTTCAGATTTCTAATTTGACCAATTTATCCAGTATTCCCATATGGTAAATGAAAAAAATAAACCATCATTATTATTATTATTATTATTATTATTATTATTATTATTATTATTACAACTATATAGATTGTCAGATTAACAATGGAAGGAAAACAATAATATAAAATTCTCCAAATCTCATTCCTTCTCTGCTTTGAGTGAGTTATTAATGCTGGATATTAGACTGTAACAATGCTGATAGCTCTTTGTGATTTCTCGTCAGTACTTAGATCAGACCTTAAAAGTTAGTTTATTGTGGAAGAAGATCATAATAGTCACTAGCGACAGAATTTGACCCAGAAATTTACCTATACTAACAATTAGTGATAAGGATACATTAGATATACACAGAAAGACAAAAACTCATTTTGGCTAAATGAATTAGACACATACACTACTGCAAACCTAATTCTAATAATTTTAACTAACCAGTGAATAGAGTTACTCCTTAGTTCTCCAGGTTCTGCACATGAGCTGTTATATCCCCAAAATCCAGACTTATTATTAATTCTTGACTCCTTGGATTTTAAAACCAAACCTCTTCAGTCAGATTCTGTCTCTGGTTTAATGTCATTGTCTTAGCAGAATAACTGACTTAATTTCCTACCTATTCTTCGCAATGTATAAGAAAATTGCCAGGCAGTGAAAAGCAACACTGCAGGTCTGTCACTTCTTTTTCTTGCTGCCAGAGATGAGACTGGGAAAAACAGAGCTTAGCCAAAGCACTTCTATACTTCAGTTATTATCAGCTGCCAGAACAGCCTCTAATCTGGGGGCAGCAAGGAACGCATTAGAATAATCACTGAACTGCTCTAATATATACCATAAATTGAAATCTAAGAAGGCATTCAAAATGTATTATACCACCCCAGAGTTACAGAAGACAAGTGACAGAATTGTTCAGACTATGCCAGATCATGTGCTCTGCTAACATTGTCTTACACAAACGGAAGAGTGGTGCTATGCTGCATATAGTTGCTAAAAGGGAGCTGAAGCTAAAAGCAGCAAAGATAGAAGTTTACATCACTTTCCATCCTGGGAAAAGCACTGTTCCTAGCACTGCACCATGACAAATCAGTGATGTACTTTGTGGCAAAACACTGGCATGACCTGAGAGGCTCATTTTGAAAACATTTGTTGAGAAGATGTCCCTATTTAATAAGCTTTGAGCACCTCCTGTCATGCATCGGATTCATTTGGTGGAGAGTACGAAGAGAAGGGTGTAGCTCAGAGTGGTCCAGCATCAGGTATAACAGGAGGCAGGCACAGATTTGGAATCATTCACCCATTCACAGTTTTTTCCACCTGTACGTTTACAAGCAGCCATCCCATGATCTTCTCAATATTCCCATTCTGCCCTCCCCCAGTACGTGCAGCAGTCACCCACTCTGTGTGTTTGCAGCTGTTCACTATGTGCACTAGTCACTGCTCTCATGCCAGTTAACTGAAAACAAAATACACAAAGAGAAATAAAATGTATCTCAAAACTCCCCGATTATATACATGAGTGTTAATGCTTGGGAAATTCTTACGCTCTGGTCTTGAAGGACTGGAAGAGTGACAGGTTAACGGATTTATTGACAAATTGGGCACAAGGTCACCAGGTATACAGGAAACACTGGAAAAAGTCATGAAGAGGTATAGAAAAAAATTGTCAGCAAATCACAGTTTTACATGAAACAGCACGAAAAGACAAATAAGAAGATAATTATTGGCTTTGAAATTGGCCCTTCAAGATAAAGATGAGGATCTTTACCAAAAAGGGATAGTGAGATATGCTTAACCCCTTCCTGAGATGGCATTGGGGTAATTTGTTGGCAGTCTGACATGACATAACTGTGTCTCAAGCCTGATCGATGGTAATTTCAACTTGTCTCTTCAGAGAACGTGCATTCTGGTTCCCTTCTGCTACGGGTCCCGGCATTTCCGTGTTTGATCTAATATGCATTATGTAAAAATCAAATCTTCTGTGATTAACAAGAACCCTTACAGCATGTATTTCAACACATAGATGTGGGTTTGCAACATCTCATAGGAAGGAAGCCTCGAGACATGAAACTAAACCTGCTGCATAACAAGAATCAGTAACAATATTAACTGGTTGATCTGAAAACAGTTCAAAGGCAATGTGAATAGCTGTGAGTTCTAGGACTTGTACAGAACTATGGCTTATGGTCTGTACTTTCTGTTCCCACTGTCCAGGTTTTACCCACGTCACTGCAACCTTTTTGGACTATCCTGATGCATCAGTAAAGACCGTTGAGGCCTTTTACTGGCTGCTGTTGGCATCTGCTTGTGGCTTTTAAGGATAAGTAACCCATTTCTGCCCAAAGCCTGTGTTTAGGGTAGTGAATGGAAATGTCACCGTCATAGTTTGCTAAGGCAACCTGGAATCCAACGTCTTCGGCCAGCAGCCAGTCAAGGCTGTCCTTCATTGCTGGGATGATCACAGGATCCTCCTGTCCATCCAGCTCCTGTAGACATACTCTGACTTTAACAACAAGTTTGACAAACATTTCATTAGTTGTCCACACAGTTTTAGGAGACGAGTGAGGAAGAAACAGCCACTCCAGGATCCTCAATGGATCTGGTTCAATCTGGTCCCATTGAAACCAAACCGCAAATGGCTGGAACCTGCTAGGAACAGATCTGAGGTTCAGGATTTTTCCTTCTGCCTTGTGTGCTCTCGATTGCCTTAGAACATGTCTTTAATGCCTGCTTTGCCTCTGTGGTCAGAGACCAACTAGATGTCAAGTGTGGATTGCCTTTCAGCAGTTCAAACAGGGGGTGCAGCTCCTCTGTGGTCAAGCCTAAGATAAACCTTAAGCAGTTGATGACTCCTAAAAGTTTCTGCAATTCGTTTAAGGTTAAAGTGTCTTCTACCATAATTTGAAGTGGCGAGATCTCCTCCTGCGTGATCCTCCATCCAAGGTAGGTCCAGGGCTGAGATTGTTGGATCTTTTCTGGAGCAACCTGCAGCCCTACTTCTTGGACAGCATTAGTTAGAGCAGTGATAACAGTTTGTAACTCAGTTTCCTTGGCCGTGGCGAACAAGTTGTCATCCATGTAGCGGTAGATGATTGCTGAGGGGTAAAGCCTTCTGATAGGGTGGATAGCCTTTGCCACAACAGTCTGACATATCGTCGGGCTGTTTCTCATCCCCTGAGGCAAAACAACCCAGTTGTACCTCTGCATGGGCTGTGCGTGGTTTAGAGCAGGGATGGAGAAAGCAAATCATGGCACATCATTGGGATGTAGAAAAATGGTGAAGAAACAGTCTTTTAAATCAATTACCACTAATGGCCATCTTGCTGGAAGCATAGCAGGTGAAGGAAGCCCTGGTTGTAATGCCCCCATAGGTTCTGTCACTGAGTTGACTGCTCTTAGGTCATGCAGCATGCTCCACTTGCCACTTTTCTTGGGTGTGCAGAACACCGGAGTGTTCCACGGAGTGGTGGTTGGCACTATATGTCCTGCATCAAGTTGTTCTTGAACTAAATCTCTTAAGTGAGCAAGCTGTTCCTCTTTCATGGGCCATTGATTGACCCATATAGGGTCATTGGTTTTCCATGTCAGCTTAATCTGTCCATGGAAAGGCTGATCAATGACCCTCACTGAAAATTCTTCTCATTTCCAGTTGCAATTTGCATGACTGCCAAACTGTCCCAGTACATCTCATCCCCATAAGGTGCATGGAATAGGAGCAACAAAAGGAACTACCTTGGCAACTTGTCCCTCTGGCCTCAATGCTGTGCCTTTGTGTGTCCCCAATCCCCAGACAGTCGAAGTAGGGTAAACAGTAGGACATTTAGCTGGCCAGTCAGTGTTTTTAATGATTGTAACATCTGCTCCTGTGTCCACCAGGCCTTTGAATCTGCATCTGTCTATCTGGCATGTCATCATTGGCTGGGCCGCAGAAATGGTCCTTGCCCAGAATATTTGTGGCTCGCCTGTGCTCCCGAAAGTCCCCGAGCCCCTTTCTCCCTTGCTAGCCAGTGACATGCTATAAAAGGAGATTAGGTGGGCAAACCGTTGTCCCTCAGGTATGTAACAGGGAGGCACTGGAGTCCATGCATTATTTGTATCTCACTGTGAGAGTCGGAGTCAATCACCTCTGGGTAAGACAAACAAACCCGTCCTGGTGGTTGATGACTGTCCGATTAGAAGGGCATGGACTCCTGAGCTTAAAGGTCCCCAGATCCCTGTAGGTATTAACACTATGGCAGTAGATGTTATAGTTACTAGCTCTCTGGAGGCCAGGTCCAACCCAGCACTGCCCGAGGTGGCAGTGAGCAGATCGCTAATCTGTTTTCTTGGGACATATTTATTTGTTGAACCGAGGCACGTGCTCTTGCACCCCGTCTCCAGTTTCCTTGATGGGAAGGGTTTTTAGGCCCCCGCTTCCATGGTTACATTTTTGGCATAATACCAAGGGGGGTTTCTTGGGGCAATCCTTATAAAAATGATCAGCAGCACCACATGGGTAGCAGCTACCTCTCCCTCTTGCCCCATCCTGCAATCTTAGCTGGGCACTTAAGGCTGTTGCTAGAGAAGCAATATGATGTTCAACTGATCTGACACCCTGACATGCTTGAACCATCTTGGTGATGATGCAGCTTTCCCTTTTAGGGATAACCTGCAGAGCTCATTTGCAGTCCAGGTTCAAGTTCTCATATGCCAGCTGCCTAAAAAGCACCTCTCTAGCCTCTTCATGCTCTATTTGCCTGTCTAAAGCCACCTGCAGCCAATCAAGGAACTGGGAAAAAGATTCAGTTGATCCCTGCAGGACCTTTGTGAAGGACAGGTTACTGTCTCTGTCCGTGCTAGGGAGTTTTCTTATCGCCCTCAAAGCCAGTTTTGCTATTACTTCATGTATCTCCCAGGAGTAGCTTGCTTGTGAATTTGCTGGCGCATACTCCCCCTTTCCTGCCAAATGATTGCAAGTCATGCCTGCTTGTGAACCACCTGGGTCACTTGCATACACAGCGCGATTCTCCCGATAGTCTGTTAACCAGACACTGTACTGAGTGGTAGTTAAAACCATTTTCAACAGTGTCTCCCAATCATATGGGGTGAATACATAGGTGGTACTCAGTGTCTCCAGATATGAAAACATGTGAGATGAGGAAATATGTCATTAACGATCTGCCTCAGTTCCTTTATCACCTAATAGGGCAAGCTTTGGAACTGAGGCTTTTGGATGGTATATAACTGGGCATGCTTTAATAACCTACCAGTCTCCTGTCCGCATTGCCTCCTCGCAGCATCTTTCCCACTGGTTAACCAACACCCCCGCACCTGCACTCTTGCCCTGTTCAGAGGAACCACCTCCGGTTCCTCCTCATCATCTTCCGATGCCTCACTATCCACAGTTCCAACATACTCGGCTCCCTGAGGTGGCATGGCAGAAGATGGCTGCCACGGCAGGGAAGCACCTCTCCCCTTGTGCACGCGGCCGGGACAAGATGGCTGCAGGGCCGGAAGAGACAGCTCAAGTTCTGGTCCATTTTGCGCACAAGATGACTGCGCCCAGGTCACATTTCTCTGAGCACGTGGCTGCAAGTAATCAGCAACATGAGGGGGTAAGTTTGCTGGGTGCCCCCCCCTTCCACTGCGGCGGGAACCTACAATTCACCCCTGTATGGTGAATTCACGAACTAAAATTCCCGTCCTATCTCCGCAGCTCGCGCACACACAAAAACCAGGACCTTTGCCGTAACTTGCATCGCATTCTCCCCGTTCCTGTGTCCTAGTTAGAACAACTGGGACCAGTTCATCACTGGATGGGTGTAACCCAAAACTGTGTATTCCACAGCCTTCCATGCCATTTCCCAGAAACTGTTATCAATGAACCATTTACACCATCTGCACATAGAGCCTGACTCCTCAGGCTATAAACTAGGTGTTAAGAGGCCTGCGAGACAGGATGTTACTTTTGTCCTCACACCCATTAAGGAACCCCCCACCCTGGGGGAGGTACTGAGCATCCCTGCCTGAACTGGAGGATATATAATCTTGGAATCTTGGGACTTTTTTAACCACTCGTGGGATCCAGAGGAAGACTGCAGATCACCGCTCTCAACCAAACTGCAGACCAGCACTCTCAACCAGACTGCAGACCACCACTCTCGACTGGACTGCAACCACCACTTTTCAACCAGACTGTAACAGGTTTTCCCCTCTCCTTTTACTTTGGACTCGGGGCCCAAAGAACACCACTCTGTTCATGCCCCAGGGTACTGGGTTATACATTTGGGTTTTGTGGGTTAAAGCCAATTTTTTGTCTATATAATCACACTTATTGTATTATTTTATTAAATTGTTATTCTGATTTATAATCTCTCTTTTGAGTTGAGTTCATTTCCCCAGATCCTACCAGCGCAAATCCCAACCCGAGTCCATTGTTATATCCACCTAGGTCGCGCACAGTCCCCCTCCCCTCGTGTCTGTTCCCAAATTGTGGGGAATGGCTGCACTTAGCAGCCTGGCTGGGGGGTGCAAGGAGATGTGTGTTAGTGTCTCTTGGGGGTTCTGCCTTCTTTGAACGATCCGCAAAGCGTCTATAACTTGTGTACAGGCAGGAAGGCAGTTAGAGGCTTCTATATCGCCTGATCTGGCTCTGTCTCTCATGGATCTGCCGATTCTTTGCCAAGTGATTATATGTAAAACTTCTACAAGTGGCAGTCCTGGTGCAATGATTTTTATCCATTGCAAGAGATCTGTTATTTCCGCGTGTGTGATCTTGATAGGATATTGTCTTAGCAAGAGACACGTGGCTTCTGTATCCCTTTCTATGTCCCAGGAAACCAAATTCCCCATGCTTTTACCTTTTTTCTTGCCGCTTTCACCTCACGTGTGTTTTCTCGTTGCCTGCTGTTTTTTCGCTGATTTTTTTCAGCGCTTTTCGTCTCCGCCGCCTTTCGGCTTTTTGCTGCCTCTGCTTTCGCCAGTTCCATTTCACACTGTTTTCTGCTTGCGTTCTCTGCTGCTTCTCTCAACTTTTCTTCTCCTGGCACATGCACCTTTAATTTTTTTCGAGCTCTGTTCAGTTTTGCATCCTCCAGCTGTGTTCTGCACTGAAGTCTCGATGCTTTTAAAGACATCTGGCTTTTTTCTTGGTATGTGTTCCTGAGCTCTGGAACAAACTAGTATGAACACATCTGCGATTTTCCTTGCTGCAAGGCTGTGTATCTATCCCTGTTACAGAGAAAAGGCCTCACGTTTAGGGTGCCATGTATGGCTTTATTAATATAATAAAATAAAGCATGACCTGCCTGCATGGATTTCCAACAACCAAATCCATTTATTAGAAGAGAACAGCACCTTTTATACCTTCAGACAACACGTGATTTACCTAGTCAACCACCATGGGACTTACGCTCCCCATGTGTGTCAGAGTATACTTTGGAAACTACCAATCCCAGGATGCATCAGCCAGCATCCCTGAAGCACATTTCCAACAGTAAGAAATCAAAGGAGCAGATACATCGTAAAAATGACAGGCAGAAAAAGTGAACATTGCAGCAGTGTATTGAATAAAACAGAGAAGTCAGAGAGAAAAACTATGAAGCTCATGACAAAATGAAAAAAGGTGGGACAATGGTTGCAGCAGGGCGGACATCTGTCCCATGTTACAGCTTTAATGGGTCAAATGCAAAAAGTAGAGCTTTATAGTAGCTACTGCTTCAGTTTCATGGCATCAATTGTCTTCACTGCCTTTTTGAACTAGGCAGTGTTCCATCAAATTCTTTTTATACTGCTTAGAATATTCTTCTTCCCATTTGATTCTGAATATTTAGGCAGAAGTCCACCTCTGCAAGAAGGAGTTTTCAAAATACCGTGACAGTGGGGTTAGCACCTTAGAAGATCCGTAGGCAAGACTGACCTGGCAAATACAAGGCTCTCCAAATAAGACACTTACAGCAACAAATAAGACTACGAGCAACAACAGTGCTGTGCTTCCCTTTCTGCATAGTAAATGTGCATTAAACCTGACCTGAAAGAACCACTTCTTTGTATTAAAAAGTCTCCATGCGTACTCAGTTCTTGCCCTTCCTCTTGAGACTGCCAACAGCATTGCCAATTAGTGCCAATCCCGAATGCAAATTGTAATATGAATAGGCCTTTCAATATTTAATTCTAGACTTTTGCAGTGGTGGTGTATAATTGTTTTATTATCATTACTGTAAGAGAAGGTTCATTCACTCATATTTCTGGCACACCTCTGAAAAATATCAAACCTGTCTACCTGAAGTACTAGCAGAAAATGTGCAAACAGGAACTTGTTCTTTTGAGTGCTCCTTCCAGGTCTAGCAGTACACTCTGGAATCAGAGTTCTTTTTCTTGGGAATCCTGATTTATTGAGAATACATATTACAGGGCCATGAAGACAACACTCATTTTTTTTATGTGACGTACTTTGTCGCTACATATTCACTCTCAAGCAGTATCCAAGATCAGGAGTTCAAAAACTTTCACTTGGTGGGGGTACAACTCACTAGTGTTAATGACAGGAATACTCACTAATACCAGCTGCAGTGGTAGGCTGGAAGTGTGTAAAAATGTACACAATGACAATTCTCATCTCTGGGCTGGGGCAGGCACCACCAAACATACAGCATGGTTTGGAGATCCTTTCTTCTTATCTTTAAAAGTCTCCTTAGGATAATTCAGAGTAAGCAAACCCTCTTCATATCTTCCTAAGAGAATCAATTTTTAGACTCATGCTTTCACCATTAAAAGCTTTTTTGACAATGAATGTGAAGCACAATTTACTTTTCATAGCACTTGCAGAGCATGAAGCAAGGGCATTTGAACATACTGATTAGATTCAGGTTGTCTCAAAAGGCATTAATAAGCTAGTCATGTTACATTGTAAATCCTAGCAACAATAGGTATATGCATGAACAGAAATATCCCATGCAAATCTGTGGAACATGTAATAAACCTGAGAAAAATAAAACATCTTCTATTAATTGAATACGTTACCAGATGTAAATTGTGCTTGCCAAAGAAGGTAAAACAACTACTGTAGGCCTCCATCTGCTGCAGGAGCCTTTTTTAAAACCAAGTAATACCACCATCTCGACAGCTAGAGATGATGTGATCAGGACTAAACTGTGTAATTGGTAAAGACGCTTTTCTCTGTTTACTGACACTTGAGGACCTACATGAGCACTGCATGAATCACTGTCAGGAGACCTGCAGAAAATCATGCTTAGAGGAAACCCCTGGCAAATGTTTACACTCTGACATTTACATTTCTGATACCTTCAGGGTAAAAAAAAAAAAGGAATGCTGCCCAACATCCTTCAGGCCTTTATATATCACAGGGCATTGAGAGATTGTCACATCTCTGTCAAGGCATTGCTGTGGGGTTATACCACTGTGACAAAACATCAGAAGCCCATCCTCATTTTAAGTCAGATTCAGGGAGCTTGTGAGTCTGTGTGCTGTAAGGGACAAGTAGAAGTGAAACTATCTTCATCTGACTTCAGACACAGAAATGTACTGTCACCACATTGTGTGGAGTTTTGCAGAAGTCTGCTGACAGATGTGCTTGGGTTCTTGGTGGATAACCCTTGAGCAAGGAGCCTTCCACAATTTCTCCATCACCTTCACAACATCTGTGTATCAGGGATATACAGTGACATGCCAGAAGCAGAGAAGAGCAGTGGAAGCATGGCACGGGCCTGTTACAAACGGGCATACAACAGGAAGGTTACTGATTTTAAGACCTCTTTCCCCAAATTCACATTCTGCTTTCTTCAAGGTCAGTGTTATGATTCTCGTAAAATTATGGAAAAACTGTTTCTTCTCATATTTTAACAAGGTCGTCCCTCTTCCTTAAGAGTAGAAAGATGATAATTTCTCACTTTATCATGGCCGTATCCTAGTGCCCAGTCATGAGTGTTATGAAGACCAGTCTTATGAAGAACAGATAGGCAGGAAGAAATGGTCCAGACTCAGGATGGAAATCAGAGATAATCAAAGCTCCAGCAGTAGATAGACTAGGGAGAAGAGAGGAGCTCTGAGACAGCTATGGGCTGCTACATATAATCTAAACCAGGGCTGTATTTTGAGGTGTATTCTGGTCAATACTTCTAGCACTCCCAAACCATGTTCTAATCTTTAGTGCAACAGGTGTAAACCTAATTCATACCTGCACCCTGAGAAATGCTGCATTTTCCAGACTCCAGGGGGTAGTGGACTTCCCTGGACAAATTTAGATGCCCTCAGCTGTCTAATCAGCATCCTTTCCTCAAGTGTTAAGGCCGTGGTTGACAGTGTTATTATGGACTTCAAAGTTTGTGGAGAGAAATCCTCCTCAGTGAGTGTTAGCCAGAACCTCTTTGGAAAAGCAACATCAAAAGGGAGACCAAATATGAAATCCGGTGACTGCCCTAAATTGTCAAACTCTCCAAAGCTCCATGGCAACAACTGAGGTAAAAACAGGTTTGAGGCAGCCTACGAGTTTTCTGTAAGCTCTGCCTGCCCTCATCCCAGGCCTCACAGTGCCTAAATAGAGCAGGCACAGTGTTTGAGGAAAAGCTGTGATTTTCTCTGAGAAATTATCTATTGTGTGGGAGCACTAAAAACGGGGCTACAGTATGTAAATGGTATTGTTTGTGCAGACATTTTTCTCACAGAAAGAGCAAAAACTAAGTCCCCACTGTACATGTAAATAGGATTAATATTCTGAGTTTTACTCTGTTCTGATCTCTCTCTCATTAAAATTAGAGTAATATCCCAAAATCAAAATGTCATGATTCTTAAGCTAGGAAGACATAACAAGATGGATACAATTTTTAACATATATACCTCATATGTAAAGCAAAATATTTGAAAGCTAATTTTTACTTGCTCTGTCTACCAGAATTAGGAAAAAGTTTTGGGTTTTTTTCCAAAATATGGCTTTACTTTTTTTTTACTTGCAAGATTTAAATAGCAAAAATTAGCCTCTTTTGTGGCCTACCTCCCATTTTTGAAGTAAAATATTATGACATAAGGATTTATTTTTCTTTATTCTATTACTCTTATTTTTTCATTGACTGTATTTGTGTCCTACCATGTATCAAAACTGTGTTCTGTGTTTCCAGGGAGAGACTGAATAGGGAGGAAATTCACAGTTGTAATCATCATCCTCACTACGATATAGGCATTTATGTGAATGGAAGGTCTGCTAAAGGTGACTGATTTTTCTGTTTTCTTTGTCTGTGCTGGAAGCTTGTTCCTGTCAAGAGGTATCTGTGGCCTCCAGATCTTACATATTTTTCTGGGGCTTTACTCATGGCATGAGGTAAGGGGTAGTACAAACTCAGTGGATTCTACATTGAAATTTGGTCTTTTATTTCATTTGTAGCTTTGTAGAATAGTTACATCAATAATACCACTCTGTGACCATTGGTATACTTTGCTAAAAATATTACCTCAAGCATACATTTTTGAACTTTTATTCTATGTTGTATTTGCCTGATTGGCAGTTTCATCCTTGGACAATAAGGTCTAAAAAAAAATACAGCAGTGTTCTGGGAACTGAAGTTGACAAATCCATGTTCTTAGATTCATTTACTGCCGAAATCTAAGTGCTATTTATGCCAATAGCTGCCAGTTTAAAATAAAAACTCCACTGAATAGGGATGTAGGAAACTCTCAACTTATCCAAACTTTGCATGCTTAAAATTCAAACATTTCATTCTTAGGTTCCAGATTAAAAGTGGTGGTCAACACTTAAAAAAGTAAATACCCAAAGTCAGATTCCTAAACGTGTATAACGGATCCTTAAAAGCCACTTAAAAATCTGAAACCAGGTTAATTTTATGTAGGAAGCTAATTTGAGGCATTTAGCTGTGAAAATAATAGACATTGTTGCTCAGCTGGACTTGGCTTCCTATCCAGCGAGACTGTTCTAGGTTCTGTAAACCCACACAAATTGTCGTATGTACTAAGGAAACAAGTTTTTCTATCAGGCAAAAATGACTAAGACCTTCGAAATTTGAAAAAATATAATTATGATGATAGCAGTAATAGTAATAAATATATTTTGATAATGATAAAATCTTTTTAAGCCAAGATTTTTATGTATGAATGCAGTTTCTACAGCTGATTTAACAATTCAGAGTTTTGATGTCAACAACACAGATCAAATTTGTACCTTCTCAATGTTATTCTCTCTTTTCAAAGAAACTCTCTCTAAATATTGGGGTTTGTGCTCTAAATTATTTCTGCATATGTGACATTTCATCTTTCTAATCTGTTTATGGCAACAAGGTAATAAACATTTCTCCAGTGAAGCTTTTCCCTGTTGTCACTAATGAGTATTATAGGGAAAGCACTGATTCATAGGCTTCAGAGATATGATAAAAATATAAGGATTGAAAAATCTAATCACACAAATTAACAGAAAAGCTGCCTGTTGGAATCACTGTCCCAGCCTAAGCTTTGCCAACACAAACAATGTTTCAAAATGTATCAAAATTAGAGACATGTATTGAAAGAGTGATCCACCTTTAGTAGCGGTGTTGCCCAATCCTTTCATCATCATAAGACAATGTCCTAGGCTGCTTATAATTTTGCAAAATCACACTCATTCAAACTGAAGTTTTCTATTATGCAAATTTAGCTTAGGTTGTGATCAACTATATGTGTTTTTTTGTTGTCAAGGTTGTGGCACTGCTACTACTGCACATGAATCCAAGCAAGGGCAGCCTGGAGGCTGTAGGGCTTGGTGTGGGCCACAGAGGTGGCAATTGAGGAGGGAGAGGTCAGGGGCTGAGTCCAGCAGGGTAGAGCACAGGAAAGCACCCCAAACTTCAGCAATACCCACATTGAGGTTTCCCTGGTAACCTCAGCCTGCCCAGTCAGCATGTCCCTGCTTTGAATCGATGTTTTGAGGATGTGGTAAACATTCCACCCTGACCGGCCTGAGGAGGGAAGGAGCGGTGGTGTAGGTGTCTCTTTGATTTGTAGGAGAAGCTGGAAAGTGGTTCCTAGGTAAGGGGGCTGTGAAACACTACAATGGAGAGCATGCAGGAGTGGGGGCTAATCCAGACCACAGGCACAGTGGCACAGGCAAAACAGAGAAGCGAAACAGAGCAGCAAAACAGAGCAGTGTCCCCGCCCTGCAGCAGCTAAAATACAAACACGTTCTGCTTTGTGTCCCTTTACTGCTTTGTGTAACTTAATAATTAAGATCTGTACTTTGCTTTGTCACTATGCTCTACTACACGAAGGTATCTCAGAATCATAGAATGTTAAGGGGTAGAAGAGACCTTAAAGATCACCTATGACCCACCCTCCCTGCCATGGACTGGGACACCTCCTACTAGACAAGGTTGCTCAAAGCCATATCCAGCATGGCCTTGACCACTGCCAGGGTTGGGGCATCCACAGCCTCCCTGGGCAACCTGTTCCAGTGCCTCACTACCCTCACAGTAAAGAATTTTTTTCCTAATATCTAGCCTAAACTTTCCCTCTTTGAGTTTGTGTTCATATATTTCAAAACCATTCACATATAACTTTATAAAGACACCTAGAAACATAATAATTTCAAAATCAGAAGATGAATCAGAATGTCCTGGAGACATATGGAGATATTTTTTCTTTTTCTTTTGTATTTCTTTCTCAAAGACAAAGTTAAATTTCAATCAAAACTGTTAAAAAGAAATTTAATAGGAAAAATCCACTGGAAACTTTTGAATAACCCTTTACCCTTTGGAAAATTGGCCTGTTGCATCTTCAGCCAAGCTCACTCAGTCAGTGTGTCTCTAGCAGTTGAAACTCCGGTTGTCCTTGAATAAAGATAAAATCAGTCACAGAACTGTTGCAATAAGAAATTAATTCATTTACAAAAGACTCTTGTCCTAGAGTAATAAATGTCACAGAAACCAACATGAAAAAATTAATAATACTATGTTCATCATAAGGACTGGTGTTTATGAGGTATGTCAGGCCTGAGATCAGCCTTGAAGCAAAGGAAATAGAAAAATATTAAAAAGATATTCCCTCAACAAACACTTGACAAGTAACCTGTTACATAAGTCTGTTTTTTAATGCAATAATGCATCTGATTGTGTACAATTACCCAGGAAACCTTGATTCTGACTCATTCAAAATTAATTAGCTTATTAAATGATTTTAAGGTCCTTTCAATATTGTAGATATACAAACACAAAAAATTCTGAAGAAACTCATGAGATTCTAAGGTGAGCAAACTGTCTTAGCCATCCCATAAAAGTGAAAAACAAATTATTTCCAAGAATGCAATCAACAATTGAGGAAAAAGAGATTCAGCAACTTCTTAAATAGCAGTTTTAAAGGCTCTTTCAACAGCCACACTTCATTCAGAAAGAATGTCTTCAAGTTTTCAAAACCATTTACAATCATTTTGACACATTATATTTTTTATTGTCGTTGCAGTGCATTTACTGTGATAATTAGAACAGATGGCAAATATAGGGAAATTTTATAAGGATATTTAATCACTCTAATGCAGTTCTAGGTCCTGGATTTAGTAATGACTTTTAAAATTAAATTCCAGACAAATCAAACAATTAAGTACTTGCTCTTGTTAAAAAAAATAAAAATTGTCAGTGACATAAAAGCTAAAGAAGTCTTAGAAAGGATAATATGTACATATCTCTCCACTCTATATCATGCTAATTTGCTGAATGAAGAATTTATCCAAAGCAAATAAGTTATTTTTCAGTTCAGCTGTTACGGTAGGATTTAGGGAGTTAAGATAAGCTCTTATCCCTGCAGCATTTTATTCTGACTCCAAGAGGGTCAAAGCCATAATTCTTTTCCATGGGGAAATTATCCTGCTATTAACCCCCATTATATTTTATGCAGCACAGTTAATGCAAGCACACTATAGTGTTGTATAACCAAAGCATAACTCACTAAATGAATAAAAATTTTAAGTGAGACAATCCTTTAAATTTTCTAACATGTAGAAAACAGAGGTCAGAAATTTTATTGAGGACCAGAGGGTCAGTAGAAGTGGAGAGTGTTTGCCCTTCAGTGGCTGCATGATTTCATCAGGAACTCAGGCTGGCCAGTTGTGATCCTGCACCTCTGTCGCCTGTGAGAAGTCTCCCTGCAAGTGTAAGGAAATAAGATACATATGTAGGTGTGCCTGCTCTGGCAAACTTTGTCATTTATGTAACATCGGCTGCTGAAGGCTCATAGCAATATTTATGCATGTCTGTAAAAAAAAAAGAAAAAAATTCTCAATGCATAAGCAGTGTTTTCATCTACAAAATAATTGCTTTGAGTGTGTTAATGAATGAATTTATAAGTGTTATGATGTTACGTGTTAAATAATATTGAGAGTATTTTGAATATTAATTATTTTTTATTGCAATAGTTCTGTGAGTGAAAAATAATTTTATAGTCCACAAGTGTTCTTTTAATATTCACAGTATTTATCTGGATGTGTAGTTGGGTAGATAAACTAAAAAATGTGCAATTACCATTTGTCTAACTTGAAATAATTGTTTCATTTTGATTTGCCAAATTGTTTTGGTGTGAATGAGCCAATGTATTTAAAACCCACAAATAGAATCAAGAGATCTAAATGTGAGCTAAGCATATAGATTGTCTTTTTTTTTTCCGTTTTATGGAGAATATGTATGTTTAAATATTAATATATATTTTCAGACACCATTCAGGTCTGAGTGCTGTAAAATGTATATATTAGACCAGGGAATTTTAAGTATGTAATGTCATATCACATTAATTAGTCGTATGACTTAAAACACAATTCTCAAACAAAATATGACTTAAGTCTGTCACAAAACCCAAGCTGACTAAGGAGTGTTTAACAAAGAAACAAACTGAAAATGAAAGGTGTCGTGGGTTGACTCTGGTCGAAATTTAGGCACCCACAAAAATCACTAAGAGCTGGAAGAGGTCACACAGGCAAGACAGACTCAACATGGGGATAATACTAAAATTTACTAACAGGATAAGAGCCAAAGAGTGAGAAATAAAACAGTCTTAAAAACACTCTCCAACCACCCCTCCTTCCTTCCATGTTCTCCCTCCTCCCCCTGCATCAATGCAGGGAAAGAAGTCCACTCCTCGGGCAACTGGTGTTCCAAATCTGCTATCCCGTAGGTCACTCTTCCATGGGGTGCAGGGGGTCTCTGCACCTCAATGGTCCTTCATGGGCTGCAGGGGGGACAACCTGCCTCACCATGATCTTCACCATGGATTACAGGGGAGCTAAAGCTGTGAGTCCTTCCCCTGTCCCGTAGGGTCCCTCCCACGAGTAACAATCTTTGACGGCCGTCT